AGGAACAAATCAGTCATTCATGTACAAAATTCATACCCCAAGTCTTCGTCTCAAAATCGTATGGATTTGGCTAAATAATAACCAAGGTGGACTCATCAAGATATTAACTTATTTATCCTATAGCATTATTCATTATGAACAGCACATTCTACATCTAACACTATTAAGTATGATAGATTATGCACTCTTCATTGGAAAAGTAAAAATCATTTAATATTTCAACTATGAGATGATGTGGTACAGTCATTTAAACATTTTCCCATAATGCCAAACTGCTTGCTTCCATTATCGAACCTAAAGAAGCCAATTGGGGGGGGGGCGGGAATTATATATATATATATATATATATAATACCCACAAGTCATAAGAAATCACGGAAAGTTACTTGAAAAAGGAAAAAATAAGCATTTCTTGTCACACAGCAAAAAGTTTTCCTCAACAAAGAATAATTAAAAACTGAAACCATGAGAAGTGCTTACACTTATTTTTCTTTACTAACAACTAGATATAATGTTTGTACAGTTAGAGGGGGTAGAACAGCAAATATTAGAGGGGATTCTAGATCCTTATCAAAATGAGTAAAGTTGGGACTTCCCTTTCTAACTAAGGGACTTCCCTTTCCATCTAAAGTGGGACAAACCACTTCTAGTGGTTAAGAATCTGCCTTGCAACGTGCGGGACATGGGTACAATCCCTGTTTGGGGAACGGGGATCCCACGTGTCCTGGGGCAACTGGGCCCTCCTGCCACAACTAGAGCACCCTGTGAGGCAACTAAGATCTGACACAAGTCAAATTAAAAAATAAAAAAATGAGTAAAGTATGGTCAGTGCAGATACTGAGATTTATTTAAAGGTTAATATTTAACTGTCACAGAAACATTGGTAATAATCGTGATATTCTGTAGCCAAATTTATCTGAAGCCAGTTTGCCTTTTAGGCTCAGATTTTGACAGTACACCAAGTGAATGTAAAATCCTGTAGACTTGTGTTAACTAGTTTAGTTCATAAACCTAACATGTAAAGCAGAATTCTAATTTGCTAAGGCATGATGAAAAATATGAAGGTAATACAGACTAGTAAATTCTTAATCTCCATTCTCTGAGCCAAAGAGTCATTTGGTAGGTGCTTGGCCTCAGAACAGGATTTATATTAATTGAATTTTATCGGCCTCAAGCTATTCCCTTGTAGAAGCTTCTCCCATTGGAATGTTAAAAATCTTCTGGATAAGGCTTTCTATATCCACTTCCCCAGTAGGGATGGTCTTTTTAATTTGGCCTTGATAATAGGTTAATCGCCACTCCCTATATCTCTTAACTTTTGTTTATGCCTGCCCTTAGAAAACTAAAAAAGAAAATGTGAAATATACTATTTCTTTTAGTTATTCAGTCTATTCTTACTAGCCCAAAATCTGATCTTTTTATGGCATGAGACAGATTTTTAATTTTTTTGCCCAACTAATATCCATTCAGTTCTTTCCCCCAGCAGAGCAGCCATGCAGTTTGGGTAGGAGAATGGAAGCGGGAGAGAGAGATTACTCCACCCCAGTTCAGGGTCAACCCCAGAGTTTCCAAAAGAATAAGGAGACTCCCAAAACCTCTGCTGTACTGATTGGTGCAGATAACCCATCCCAAAGGCAGTGATCAAAATGCCTCATTCCCACCGACCTGATTTATAAAAAAGCATGTGAACAAGCTCAAACAAATGAAAAATGAAACATGGTGTGCTAGTAACCTTTGCAAAAGATGATGTCTTACTCCACTCAGAAAACTACAAGCACATTCTCTTTCTGGAAAGTGTAATGTGAGATACTAAGGCTAGGGTGATTTACTACATAGAGAACCAAGCTTGGATGACTTTGCTCATCCTGCAAAGGCAGAACCCAAAGGCAGGAATTGCTCTAACGTAACATGACTGATATGCTTAATCAAATCATATTTGATTAAGACAAATATATGAAGACAAACTGTGGAAGATTTAAAATCTGTCCACTAAGTGTCAGATACATCTTCCTTTAAAATCTAAAATTAACTTCTTTCACTTTAACTGAACCTAGAACCTGTAACAGTTAGTGTGGCAGAGTAACAGTAACTTCCAAGACTAGGCCAGAGAGGACACTGCAGCCTCTTTCTTGTTCTCGCTCTCATTCTTTCTCTCCCTCCCTTCCTTCTTCCCTCTCTCCCATCCTCTCCATGTTTCTTGGGGAAGACAGCTGCCATGCCAAGGGGACACCCAAAGTGCCCTGTAAGGGCCACACAGTACGGAACTGGGGCCTCCTGCTCAGAGCCAGGAAGGAGCTGGCGCCTTTTCCCAACCATGGCATGAGTGAGTTATCCTGGAAGGGGATTCTCCAAGCTTAGGCAAGTATTGAAATGAAGGAAGCCCTAGCTAACATCTTGACTGCCATTTCATCAGAAATCAAGCTAAGATCACCCAGGAAAGTCATTCCATAATCCCTGAACCACAGAAACCATGGGGGGAAAAAAAGCTTATTGACTTAATCTGCTAAATGTTGGCATAATTTGTTCAACATTAGAAGAAGAATATGCTATCCAACCTCTGGAATGTCTAATCTACACAGTTAATATTCCTCTTTATGTTATCACTTAAATTCCTTTGTTATTACTTTTTTTATTATTAAGTAATGAGCCCTAAATTGCTATAAGGTAATATGTATTTTTACTGTGATCTATGACATAGTAATATAATAATATTTTAGTTTAATTCTAAAAGAAAATTATTATTTCCAAATCCTTGGGCAAAAAGAAGGTAGAAAGGAACAACTTTCTTGGTAGTAAACAAGGTACTGGAAGGCGTAGGAAGGAAGCACCGTTTTCTGTCATCAGCGGTCACAGGAGGAAAGCGCTCTCAGGCAAAGTAGCTAAAGAAGGTAAAGATGTCCACCATCTAAAACTGACTTTAGATCTCTCTTTACAAGTCTGGTATACTGATTTCCTGCCACCTCAGGCTATTGGTTCTAAGTCTGAGGTCTTAGATACCTCAGCTTCCCGTCATAACTGGATTTAGGCAACAATGTTCATACTGTATTACAACAAACACTTATTGGAAAAGATGAGCCCTGATTCTGGGAAAGGTTAAGGGTGGGAAGAGAAGGGACGACAGAGGATGAGATCCTTGAATGGCATCACCGACTCAATGGACATGAGTTTCAGCAAACTCAGGGAGATAGTGAAGGGCAGGGAAGCCTGGAGTGCTGCAGTCCATGGGGTCACAAACAGTCTGACCTGACTTGGTGACTGAATAACAACACATGAGATGTTAGGTCCACACAAACTCAAATCATGCCAAGAATGTTTGGCAAAGAGTTCAAGGTGCTATTATGCTGGTGACAAGAGAAAAGAGTGCCAATCTGCAAAGAAAAAATCAAGTTAGATAAACAGCAGAAAACCATGTTGGATAAGAAAGAGAAACAAGACTGAATTAATATCTAAATATGAGTAGAGACCAAGTGAACTGATGATCAGTAACTTGAAGACTTAAAATAGGTTATGGAAAACTCAGTTATTAGGATTAATAAAAGTCAAAGTATAAGCCACTTGGAGAATAAAACGGAAAACTGCAATGCAACAGAGGAATCCAATGATTCAGACACACAGAGATAGAACTGGCTCTAAGCTAAGCCCACAGGTATGCACTGACTGGGTCAATCTGTCAAAATAAAACAGAGCAAAGATGGAGAAAAAAAGAAGCAATTATTTTAGTGACACCATGAAATTATACTGACATTTGCATATTTTTATTGACTCTACTAAAATGTATGATATATGTACAAATATGTCCACAATAGAATCTCAAATGATACGGTCAACTTTCACTTTTCCTAAGGTTTCTGTTGCTCATAGAACTCAGGTTTTCTCTCTCTGATTTAGGAAGAAAAATAATTAACATTTACTTCAATATTATATTTCATGCTATGAACTAGGGGGGAAAAAAGCACTGTTTTGTTTAACTGACTCAAAATTAATCTAGACTGAACATTACTATGGTCCTTTTAAAGGTGGGGAGATCTGGGATCAGAATTCACAATTGTAATAATGGAGGCAGAATTCAAATACATCCATGTGCCCTCTAAGATGTCATCACTTTCTTTACTTACTAACAGATAAAACTGTTTCAGAGACTAATCATAACTTTACCCAATGCATTTTTTTTTTTTTAGAAAATAAAGTGCTGGCGACGGCCGTGGCGGCCTTAGCCGGCCCTCACGCTCTTAACCTTCCTGGGGCGCCAACCCCGCCCGCCAGCTTGCTAGCTTTCCTGCCCGGCGCCACGGAGGAGAAGGCGCCAGGAAACGCAGAGCGGCGAGAGGCTCGCGGCCCCGGCCAGCTCCGTCTCCAGCGTTAGCGCCGCGGCCGTGGCGGAGGACGACGAGGACGAGGGCCGCTCTTCTCGCTCCCTGCTTGCGGCGCGGCTCCACTGACGGGCCCTCGGGAGTGCAGGCGGGCAGGCGGGATGGAGTGATAGGGAAGATGTTTGTGGATTCTTCTGTGGGATTAGAGGGGACGCCTATTGTAATCAGAAAACTCCAAGTATAGCAGCAGGAATGGATGAACAGGCTCTCTTAGGTCTAAATCCAAATGCTGATTCAGACTTTCAGACAAAGGGCCCTGGCCTATTTTGAACAGTTAAAGATTTCCCCAGATGCCTGGCAGGTGTGTGCAGAAGCTCTGGCTCAGAGGACGTACAGTGATGATCATATTAAGTTTTTCTGCTTCCAAGTACTGGAACATCAAGTTAAATACAAATATTCAGAACTAACCACTGTTCAACAACAACTAATTAGAGAGACGCTTGTATCTTGGCTTCAAGCTCAGATGCTCAATCCCCAACCAGAGAAGACCTTCATATGAAATAAAGCTGCCCAAGTCTTCGCCTTGCTTTTTGTTACATAATATCTCACTAAATGGCCCAAATTTTTTTTTGACATTCTCTCAGTAGTGGACCTAAATCCAAGGGGAGTAGATCTGTACCTCCGAATTCTCATGGCTATTGATTCAGAGTTGGTGGATCGTGATGTGGTTCACACCTCAGAGGAGGCTCGTAGGAATACTCTCATAAAGGATACTATGAGGGAACAGTGCATTCCAAACTTGGTGGAATCATGGTACCAAATCCTACAAAATTATCAGTATACCAATTCAGAAGTGACATGCCAGTGCCTTGAAGTAGTTGGGGCTTATGTCTCTTGGATAGACTTATCCCTTATAGCCAATGATACGTTTATAAATATGCTGCTAGGTCATATGTCAATAGAAGTTCTACGGGAAGAACTGATTGTTTATTTGAAATTGTAAATAAAGGAATGGATCCTGTTGATAAAATGAAACTGGTAGAATCTTTGTGTCAAGTGTTACAGTCTGCTGGGTTTTTCAGCATTGACCGGGAAGAAGATGTTGACTTCCTGGCCAGATTTTCTAAATTGGTCAATGGAATGGGACAGTCATTGATAGTTAGCTGGACTAAATTAATTAAAAATGGGGATATCAAAAATGCTCAGGAGGCACTGCAAGGTACTGAAACAAAGGTGGCGCTGATGTTGCAGCTCCTAATTCATGAGGATGATGACATCTCTTCTAACATTATTGGATTTTGTTACGATTATCTTCATATTTTGAAACAGCTTACAGTGCTTTCAGATCAACAAAAAGCTAATGTAGAGGCAATCATGTTGGCCGTTATGAAAAAATTAACTTACGATGAAGAATATAACTTTGAAAATGAGGGTGAAGACGAAGCCATGTTTGTAGAATATAGAAAACAACTGAAGTTATTGTTGGACAGGCTTGCTCAAGTTTCACCAGAGTTACTGCTGGCTTCTGTTCGCAGAGTGTTCAGTTCTACACTGCAGAACTGGCAGACTACACGGTTTATGGAAGCTGAAGTGGCAATAAGATTGCTGTATATGTTGGCAGAAGCTCTTCCAGTATCTCATGGTGCTCACTTCTCAGGGGATGTTTCAAAAGCTAGTGCTTTGCAGGATATGATGCGAACTCTGGTGACATCAGGAGTTAGTTCCTATCAACACACATCTGTGACATTGGAGTTCTTCGAAACGGTTGTTAGATACGAAAAGTTTTTCACAGTTGAACCTCAGCACATTCCATGTGTACTAATGGCTTTCTTAGATCACAGGGGTCTGTGGCACCCTAGTGCTAAAGTCCAGAGCAGAACCGCTTACCTATTCTCCAGATTTGTTAAATCTCTCAACAAACAAATGAATCCTTTCATTGAGGATATTCTGAATAGAATACAAGATTTATTAGAGCTTTCTCCACCTGAGAATGGTTACCAGTCCTTGTTGAGCAGCGACAATCAATTATTTATCTATGAGACAGCTGGAGTGCTAATTGTTAATAGTGAGTATCCAGCAGAGCGGAAGCAGGCATTAATGAGGAATCTGTTGACTCCACTCATGGAGAAGTTTAAAATTCTGTTAGAAAAATTGATGCTGGCACAGGACGAAGAAAGGCAAGCATCTCTAGCAGACTGTCTCAACCATGCTGTTGGATTTGCTAGTCGAACCAGCAAAGCTTTCAGCAACAAGCAGACCGTGAAGCAGTGTGGCTGCTCGGAAGTTTACCTGGACTGTTTACAGACATTCTTGCCAGCTCTCAGCTGTCCCTTACAAAAGGATGTTCTCAGAAGTGGAGTCCGCACTTTCCTTCATCGCATGATTATTTGCCTGGAGGAAGAAGTCCTTCCCTTCATTCCATCCGCTTCAGAACACATGCTCAAAGACTGTGAAGCAAAGGACCTCCAGGAATTCATCCCTCTCATCAACCAGATCACAGCCAAATTTAAGATACAGGTATCCCCATTTTTACAACAGATGTTCATGCCTCTTCTTCATGCAATTTTTGAAGTTTTGCTCCGACCAGCAGAAGAAAATGACCAGTCTGCTGCTTTAGAGAAGCAGATGTTGCGGAGGAGTTACTTTGCTTTCCTGCAAACCGTCACGGGCAGCGGAATGAGTGAAGTCATAGCAAATCAAGGTGCAGAGAATGTAGAACAAGTGCTGGTTCCTGTTATTCAAGGAGCAGTCGAATATCCAGATCCCATTGCTCAGAAAACATGTTTTATTATCCTTTCCAAGTTGGTAGAACTCTGGGGAGGTAAAGATGGACCAGTGGGATTTGCTGATTTTGTTTATAAGCACATTGTCCCCGCATGTTTCCTAGCACCTTTAAAACAAACCTTTGACCTGGCAGATGCACAAACAGTATTGGCTTTATCTGAGTGTGCGGTGACACTGAAAACAATTCATCTCAAACGGGGCCCAGAATGTGTTCAGTATCTTCAACAGGAATACCTGCCTTCCTTGCAAGTAGCTCCAGAGATAATTCAGGAGTTTTGTCAAGCGCTTCAGCAACCTGATGCTAAAGTTTTTAAAAACTACTTAAAGGTGTTCTTCCAGAGAGCAAAGCCCTGAGGACTAGATCTCCCCGTGCCTACTTCATGATCAGGAATTCCAGTTAATAATTTATAAAGAAACAATTTTTTGTGTGCCGTTCACACTGGTCTTTTTAACATTGCTTTGAGCTTATTGCAGTATATGTATTGGGATTTTTTTTCTGTAAAATGGGTGTAATTTTCCCTAAATTACAGGTATGTGACAACATAGAGAAGTTGCATGCCGATTAAATCGTTCTATGTAAAAATGCTGTTGTAAGATAAGCAGTTATCCTAGGACCTTTTTTTTAACTTGAAATTTTTAAGTCCTTTATAAAGACCATAGCAAGAAAGCAGTGTACTTCTTTTTCATTAATGAATATAAAATGTTTGAAAATTTAAATTTTTGTTTTATGTGTGCAGACTCATAAACTGTTTCATTTATGTGTGCAGACTCATAAAAAAGTGGGGGGAATAAAATCAAAATTAACTTTTTTGTAGATAGCTATTACATTTCCTTAAACTGTTTCAATGCCAATGTGTATTCTACAAAACAGAATGGTTTCATAAATTAACTGATTGAAGAGTAGGTGCTGGTGTTATACATTTTTTATTAAAAAAAGCAAATAAATTTTACGTAGTGAAATATAAAAGAAAAAAAAGAAAATAAAGTGCTGGCAATTATTTAGGAAGTTGAAATTAACCACTATTACACACTATTACAGTGTTTGTCTTTATGTTTTGGGGATTTGGTTATTTTGGTTTTTTCTTTTTTCTTGGCTGTGCTGGGTCTTTGTTGAGGCACACAGTCTTCTCTAGTTATGGCCTGTGGGCTTAGCGCTCCAGGGCACGTGGGATCTTAGTTCCCCCACCAGGGATCGAAACTGCATTGGAAGGTGGATTCTTTACCACTTTCCAAATCAAGAAAGGAGTACATCGAGGCTGTATATTGTCACCCTGCTTATTTAACTTATATGCAGAGTACATCATGAGAAAGGCTGGGCTGGAGGAAGCACAAGCTGGAATCAAGATTGCCGGGAGAAATATCAATAATCTCAGATATGCAGATGACACCATGCTTATGGCAGAAAGTGAAGCGCTAAAAAGCCTCATGATGAAAGTGAAAGAGGAGAGTGAAAAAGTTGGGTTAAAACTCAGTGTTCAGAAAACTAAGATTGTGGCATCTGATCCCATCACTTATGGAAAATAGATGGGGAAACGAGGGAAACAGTGACAGACTTTATTTTGGGGGCTCCAAAATCACTGCAGATGGTGACTGCAGCCATGAAATTAAAAGACACTTGCTCTTTGGAAGAAAAATTATGACCAACCTAGACAACACACTAAAAAGCAGAGACATTACTTTGCCAACAAAGGTCCGTCTAGTCAAAGCTACAGTTTTTCCAGTAGTCATGCATGGATGTGAGAGCTGGACTATAAAGAAAGCTGAAGAATTGATGCTTTTGGACTGTGGTGTTGGAGAAGACTCTTGAGAGTCCCTTGGACTGCAAGGAGATCCAACCAGTTCATCCTAAAGGAAATCAGTCCTGAATATTCATTGGAAGGACTGATGCTGAAGCTCCAATACTTTGACCACCTGATGTGAAGAACTGACTCATTGAAAAAGACCCTGATTTGGGGAAGGGTTGAAGGGGGAGGAGAAAGGGATGACTGAGGATGAGGTGTTTGGATGGCATCACTGACTCAATGGACATGAGTTTGAGCAAGCTCTGGGAGTTGGTGATGGACAGGGAAGCCTGGAGGGCTGCAGTCCATGGGGTCGCAAAGAGTAGGACATGACTGAGAGACTGGACTGAACTGAACCAGGGAAGTATTTTTATAGTAATAGTGAGGCAGAATCCACAGTTTCAGTACAACCTGGGTAACTACTACGCTTTACTTTTTTGCTACCCATAATAGTGCTTTTACATAGAGCACCTATCCATTCATATGTGGACTACTGCCATTCCTCTTCAGTTTTCTAATCCTTCACTCCATGCATGCACTGATTCAAGGAGTAATTAACTGAGCATTTGTTATAAAAAGGTATGCTTCTGCCTCCACCTATTGTAAGACATTTGATTATGTCACCTTTGTTTAAGTAGAAATATACCAATTGCCCATACTTTAATAGTCAGGATCTATAGACACATACCACAAATATGTATATATAATATATATGTGTATAATTTCTAAACTAGAAAAGTTCTTGCAATAAGCATGTATTAAAATTAAGGCTTTATAAATAAGAGTTTTACTTCTAGATTACTAAAATGACCTTGCCTGAGATTAGGACAACAATGCAATAAACAATTCAAGTGTTAAGTAATATCTCTTTTTCTGTAACTTCAATCAATATACTGGAATCAATTTGAATGCAATTTCTAGTAATAAATTTGTTTGAGACCTACATATGGCTGTATTAACCCAAAGCAAAATAATAAAAATATTTTCTGTTCTTTGATGCAGATACAAAATTTATCAGTGCTAAAGGACAAATATATTTGAATAAACAGATTCATTTTCAGCATCTAACAATTTTCTTTTTCCCCTACTCTGTTTGAGTTTTAATTTGTATTTTATGTCCATCATATAAAAGATGGGTTTTCTGTTGCTCTTTTTTCTTAAAGGTCTGTAGTGGTGGAGCACACATTTCACATTCAGTGCAATGCATTCATAAAGAGAATTTACATATTATAAAATTAACATAAATTTTGCTGCTATTTATGCATCCTATCTGGTCATACTCAAGATCAGGTAATGGGCTGTTTGTCTGTGTTGCAAATAGAAATAACTCAAGTTATTCATACATCTCAACTGCAAATCTATCACTTTGATATTTTTACACTTTTTATATATTTTGTGTCTTAGCAGTATATATCAACTAGGCACATTGAGACAGAAG